GGGAAACAGATATTTCAATCATCTTTTTCTGTTTTAGTTAAAACAGAACTGCTTTAAACACAACAACTTCCAAAATAATATTTAAAAAATCTTCCCAAAGGAAACAGGAGTTTTCAGCTTTTCAATGGTTCAAATACAAAATGTTATGCATATCCTTACAATTATCTAAATATTAGTATTTAAGGGAGATTAAAACAATATAATTTTAATATGATAAATATAAAAGGTTTCAACACAATAATCTTTACAACTAAAATGTTTTTTTTTTATAATCTGTTGATTCTACATATGTGACAGGGCCACATTTTCCAAAATTCCCATTTATGATGGCCACTGATCTTTCTGGCTGGAGAGCAAGTACCATATTCCCAAACACATTAGGAAGACAACAAATTAAGAAAGACTGGATAAAAACAAAGTGTATTCAAATACCATTAGGAGAAAACCTATACTTTGCTTATCTTTTTTGTCCTTTATCAGAGAAGGCTCTGATAGCATTATATATTTTTTTTATATTTACCTTTCAATTATATTAAATTAACTGGATATTCTGTACTGAATCTACAACTACCTGCAAGTATGTTATATTTTATTATCATGATACTATTTCAGTCCTTTAAGTGTATAACTCTAAGTATAGAAAGTGATATATTTAAAAGATAGAAAAAACAATGGTAGCCATCCTCTTTCAGCCATCTCCGACTAGCCCTGCTAAATCAACAAAATCCGAATATTTCAGCCACTCAATATTCAAATAGCAAATCTACAGAAACAATACAGTATATTATATTTTTTCAGACAACTCTGAACAGCAACATTTTCTACTTCCATTTTATTACCATAAAAGTTTAATTATCAGCAAATTATTGGGAAATTAGAAGTAAATAAATATCTTTTTCTGATCAGGAAGAAGTTTAAATAGGTATTAGGAATAAATGCTTACATTAAAAATAAGAACAATCTATTTACTATTAGAAATAATACAAACATTTCAGCCTGCTTGCTTATCAGATGTTCTGAGCAAATAAAAGGAATATTTATAGGAGAAAGCACAATAAAGTCAGTTTCAAGCTACTTAAAGAGTTAAAATATTCTATCAAATATCATGAATTTTTAATGCACAAAACTGAAAGTGATATACATTTACATAACAAATGTCTCTACATTTTAGAAGTTCTAATCTAGATAGAAATATTTGTTACAGCTAACTATATATTTATAATTACACATACCAGTTTACATTTATATATTGTTACAACTATATATTATTACAATTATTATCTATTATTACAATATACATTATATATCCCTTTATAGTCCTTTCTCTTACAGAAAAAAAATTACATGGAAATAAATACAAGAAATGCCACGTAGTCTTGCCTTTCTGATAGCAAGGACCAACATTTCATGAATAAGCTAAACCCCATAAGATCAATACAAATAATAAAAATGTACCCAAGATCCATTTGAGACTTATTCTCACTGTTTTTTACTGTTAATAAATGGTAATAATGTATATTCGAGACATAATCTGGAAATAATTCATAAGAGCCACCCCACCCATAAATTATAGATGCATGAATTTTACATCTTTTAAAAGAAGCCACCACTTTTCTCAGTTTCTGCATTAGCCATTCTATTTTTTTTCCCCAGGCTTACACACAGAAGACTTTTAAAAAAGAAGTTTCTTTTTTAAATGTGCTCTCACATGTTAGTTATGTCAAGCACCTGCTTTGAATAACATTCAAAACATGCCAACAATTACTATACTGTCTACATATAAGTAGTTCCCAAAGATAGATTTTTTAAACAATGCGGGAGGCAAGAGAAGCAAGTTAAATATTATTTCAGCTTTATGTCATCTTCCTACCTAAGGAATGATGATAGAATGAATATTTTCTGTAATCTGAGTAATCTGATTTGCTGCCAGGTATAATTAAAATAAATGAGAATTTTGCCTTTCATTATAACAAAATAAATGCACACACATTAATGTGTATATGACCTATCTGTTGTATCTTTTTTGTTGTTGTTATAAAAGCAAAGTAATTAGATAAGGACAAATTAAAATAAAAGTAGGAGTAAACTGAATCAGACAGGATACAGTGCTGTACAAAGAGACGGAGAGCCAGGCTGAGGCCTACACTCACATTAGCACTAAGATGGCTGAATGAACTGTAATGTCTTAATGCAATGTCATCACTTCCTTATATGAAGTTCAAACCCACCCATGCCAAGTCTCATGTTTGGTTTTTCTCTTCCTCAGACACCCCCCACACACACACACATTTTAATTAAAGAAGTTTTAGACCTTCTTTAATGTGTACAAATATTAATCACTAAAAATCTTCAGAAACTTGTCCTGAATGGATATAATAAAAGATTCACATTTGGAGCATGTACACAGGCTCTCTCTCTCTCTTGCACCCACACACTTTTAAATATTTTGAGAGCAAGGCTATCTTCTTTATTGATTTAGTTACAGGTTTTATGATCATCCTGAGAGGTGCACAGCAAAGAAAAACACAGATTCCCCCCCCCCAATAATTTCAGATAAAAATCAGAACACAGTCACAGGCAAACATGCTATGGGGCTGAAGGTTAGTTAAAATAAAACAATATTTCTAAATGCAAAGAGACTTGGGGCCAGCAATTGTTCTGGAAGTTAAGTATTCCAAAGAGATGAATATTTTAACTATTCCAGAGAGAGGATTTTCAAGAATATAAATATCCATACATAACAAGATTCTCAGATAGCCTTTCACAGGTGATCCGATTATACGGACAGAATTAAGCTTAGTAAAACACTCCCTCTCTCAAGTAGCTAATGCCATGCCACATAAGCTTTTATAGGGGGGAAAAAACCTCCAGCAATTTGATAGGACCAAAAAAACAACTGACAACCACTGCAATAATGTAAGAATATATGTAATTCTTCAGTACCCATTTGTTCTAGCTAACAGCCTGGCTACCATGTTACACCAATTTTTCTTAGTTTCCGAGTTGTCTTCAAAGGCAAACTCACCTAAAGGGGTTTGTTGAGTCTTGTGGTAGTATAACCGCTTATTATTTCCATTGACTTACTGTAGAAAACGCTCACAAGTCAACATTTTCGGCATTTTCTAAAGCTTAACTTCACATGTAGTAGCAATACTTCAAACTTGGTAGTGATTTCCCCGCTCCTCCCTGGAAATATATTTTTATTTCTGAAAAAGAAAATGGGAATGTGGTGGAAATAAAGCAATATTGAACAAAAACAAAATTTGGGGGAGCAGGAAGAACTTTAAAACCACTTAAAATGTAACTTACAGACAAATAAAGGCAAGATAGTAGGCTCAAAAGAGGGAGAATTTCTGAAGATAAAATGGGAAGAAGGGTTTGGGAATATGGTGACCTGGAAAAGAGAGAAAAAACTATTTTGGACAGTAAGGTGTAACATATGTTCCTCCTAGAGAGGGTATTTACAGATAAATTATTTTTAAAAGAGAGGTGAAGTTATGTTGTAATCGTCTGGATTATCACTGAGAAATTCATATTCTCCATCATTACTCTAGAAATAATGTGTTTTCACAGAAATCAGTCAATGTGTGGTTTGGTTAAGGGCAATTATTAGTGTAATAGTTTTGTTATTGTTTTACTGAGTCACAGATACATAAAAGACTCCGCCCTCCAATAAAAAAGGTAACTTAATACACGGTGAGATCATCTTACAGTTTATTGCCCCACCTCTGAAGGACACACTCAAGCCGGGTAAAAGAAATCTGAAAATCAGATTTTGCTGGTTTTGAAAGCAAAACGTTCAGAAGAGATCGGACTCTTTCTCGTGTGCTAGAGCTTCACGCTCTTCTACTGTAAATGCCGGAACGGCGCAGATACGGAAATGTCAGTAAACCAGAAAGTATACACGCTGTTTTTGTCTTTCTTTCCGTTTGCAAATTTTTGCAGTTTGCAAAATTCACCGCAGTTAACGGGGAACATTTAAAACTCGGTTGGCACGAAGGGACGATTCGCTCCTTTGTTCATTGAAGACTAAGCACCAGCGTTTTTCTTCCCTCCCCAATAACGGACGAGAGGCCTGGAGATCCTGTTTTGGGCGACGATTAATGGAGACTTACCTCGTCACATCGCAGATGAAGGGTCCTTCAAGGAGGCAAGGAAAGCAGACGTCCAGCTGGAGGGCAAATAAATCCACCCTGCAGCTCAGCTGACTTGGCCGATCTCCAATCCAAAAGGTCTCCAAAAGATTCCCAGCGAACCGCTCTCCCGCCACACTGTCAACCCGAGCAGGCATCGCGTCCTCTTGCATCAACGTTTCCCCCCCACGCACACCCTTCAAGTTTTCTTTTTGAAAGGCTGAACTTTTGCTTTCTCTTTTTCCTTCGGCGGGAGGGAGATCATTAGATGGTCATTTATCCAAAACCGGAGACCCTGAAAAGTGGGGGGGAGGGGAAGACTTCGTTTTTGCTGCTTTTGTTCCAAGCGCCGGCTCGGGAAAAGAAAACGGAAACGGCCGCTTGCGAATTTAAAAATAAATAAATAAAAGCCGATCGTCCAAAAACTTGCAATTGCTGCTAACTTTTGTCTGGCGCGCGCGGACCGCTATTGCTTAGATATAGTTCCGCCTCTCCCGCGCCATTGGACCATTGAAAGGAAGTGAGCGAGGCGAAGAGATCGGGTGCAAATGGTTCTGCAGCTGATTCAAACGAGCGTTTCTGCCCCGGTTCATCCCCCCCCCCCACTCTTCCCAATACACACACCTCCCTTCGCTAAAGGGGCAGTACGCGGGGTGAGGGTGGAGAACAAAGAGAGTGAGCCGAAAGCGTGCAAAGCGTCGCTTGATCGGTCGCCCGGGATAGAGAGAGAGACCGAGAGATTCGTCCCTCCTCCTCCTCCAGTTAGAGAAGGGTGAGAGGGCTGGCAAGGGAGAGGCGGGCCTTGCCTCCGCATCCCGGAGCTCGGCAACGCTCCCTCCTCCTTTATTTTTCAGCGCTCTCTCTCTCTTCTTTTTTTCTTTTAAAATATCTTTTTAATTGCAAGGAGGAGGAGGAAAGCATAAAAAGCAAAGCCGACTCCGCTCTGCGACTCGCGGCTTCGAGGATCTTTTGGGGGCCGGTGCCTAAAACTTGTCACTGCGAGATTCCGGAGCAGCTTCGAGAACGGGTCCCTCCGCCCCTTCCCTCATCCCCTGATCCGGGTGACGTGACGAGCACCTGCCGGGCATAAAAGCAGACCTCCGCCACGCGTTCTCGCCAGACGCCCCTCCACCCCACCCGGCCAAGACCTCGTGTGGATGCCAGCCAGGCATGAGCGGCCGCGTCAAGTGTCGCGTCCGAGGTGTGCGAGGCGAAAGGTTGCCTCGGTTCCTGCAGCGTTGCCTGCTGAAAGTGATCGGGAAGGTGGTGAGGACCAGACCCCTGCCTCACACTCTGGTGCTAGTGGTGAAGAACCGGCGGAGCCCGTCCTCCCGCCCTCTACAGGTAAAGAAATGGGGCTAAGTTTTCCTCTTGCTCCTGCCGTCGCCTGCTTGCCTCCCTGGGATGCCGAGGGAATGCCAATTTCCCAATTCCTCTTCTATTTCTTTCCCTTTTTTCAAAAGGAATACGTTCTCCCTCTTTCCCTTTAAGAGGTTTCGTTTTTGGGGGGCGGCGCAATTTCCCGCCCTCCATTTTATGTATGCATATATAAACATAATGCATATCTCATACATGCATATACATACATACATATATACATACATAGTCACTCACTCTGTTACCGACTGGGTTTCAGAAGTTTGTTTTTTAAAAAAATCCTTATTCTAATAGGTTTTTTTCCCCCAAGGGAAATGACCAAGTTCTGAAATACACATACAAACACATACTCTACACAGATCTGGTAATTAAAAAAAAAAACTATGGATTTTAGGTAAATCCCCCACGCTGGGTTTTGCACATTATTGTGAAAAAACCACAGCCATAGTATCAACATGAATTTACTAATTTAGAGATAGTGGGGGGGGCGGTGCAACAAAAGGGTCCGAAACAAGATCACAAACACTTTCTGTGCAATCTCTCGCCATGTGCCTTTTAGAGGCCTCCTGGTTGCTGTTCCTAAGATGAGTAGGCCTTTCCATATGAAAGCAAACTGACCTCACTCTCTCTTTGTTGTTATCACACAATTAAGCTCGGTTATCAATTGATAATAGTTCTAGGATCGTCTCCTTATCTTAAAGCAACTTTATTTTTGCAAGGATGCAAAATAAAGAGTGCCAATTATGCAGATGTAAAAGAAGCTCAAAACTTTCACTAGGAAGTCCATGCTTGTAAGAATAGACATCCATTCTGAATTCCCTCCCTCCACCATACGCCATTTTCAATGGGCCAGGAAAAAAAACTTGCAACATCAGTCTCCTGCTTTTTTCTTTCTCTGTGCCAACTTCTTTTTCGCTTTCCTACATTATTAAATCCGTACCTTCTACTTCCAGCAAATTATATTGCCTTTTGAACTTTCATTTTGCAGTTAGTATTTCTCAGACTTTTTTTTTAAAGAAAACCCCTGATACTGTATATATCCAAATATAATTTATATGATTTTTAAATAGATGTTTATATGTTTGGGCAATGGTTATTTTAAATAATTTGATAAAATCACCTCTGGCCTTTGAGTTCTCCTGTTTAATCTGGCCTGTTATGAAATCCAGTGGCAGGTAGATTTTTATTTTGCAAAGACAATCTGGGAAATTGTCTTTACAAGATAGAATCAATAGAATAAAATAAAGCAGATTGGAAAATATAAATAGAAGAACTAATGAAATCCTAGGAGAGAATCCCACTATGTTGGTAGTGTTTGGGGAAATAATTCACCATTCAACAATTGGTATTTACTCTAGTTCTTTGCCCTTAACATGATAGTTGCTGTCATTCTTATGATTTACTGAAAATTTATCTGGCACTTTATAGGCCCCAGAGAAGCTTAAAACATGACCTAAACATTAAAAAATATTTTGTTTTGCATTGGGACATTCTGATACATACTTAAATCTCCCTTTGAAATAAAATTTAATTCTGTCTGGAGACCTCTTTTCTATTTTTCTTTATTTTTTCTAAGAAAATGATCACTAAACTGAAACAACAGGAAGCAGGACCTTCCCAAAGAAGGAACGAAGATACGTTGAAGAGACATGTCTAAACATTTCGGAGTACTTTCAGTCTAGTGCAGCTATTTGTATCAAATGCATGGTTTGAAAAAAATTATTATGTAACAGCACAGTTCTGTATAGGTTTACTCAGAACTAAGATTGGTAGGATTTAGTGGACTTTTTTTTAACCCTTAAAGGTGCCAAAGACTGCAGGCCCAAGAATACTGCACCAGTTCTTCAGCCAAATATCCCACCATGAGTAAATTTTTGTCAACATACATTAAAAATGTATTATGGCTCCTCCCTGGACAGCCTCACTTAGAAGTAAATTCCAGAATTTAATAAGACTTGTTTTCAACTAATTCTTGCCCACAGCTGCAGTTTTTATACTCTTACTTGAGAGTAAAGGCCAGTTAATATCATTAAATTCTTATTAAGTAAACAAGAAAGGTAGCTCTGTTAAGCTTTGAAGTACAATGGACATTTTTCTTAATTTTGCAACATAACATTGTAATCCTATGTTTGTTCCAGGTGCAAATTTCCTTAATTTGAATGGAGCATACTCTGAAATAAGTGGGTAGAAAATCAGAACTGAGTTCTACTTTTTTGAAGTACAATCCTCATATTTTGGGGAATATGTAATATTCTGATATGGTATTTCATTTTAACTGAAAATATTTTCTTCCTACTAATCTTGGGCGAACCTTAGATAACTGTCTTACAGATGACCACAGACTTTTATTATTGTTTCATATCCTTTACCTAGTCCTTTTTTTTCTTTCTTTAAATAAAACAAACTTGAGTAAGCAAAAAAAAAAAGCTTCCCTCATATATTTACGTACTCAAGAGTCAGATTTTCTGATGGCCTCATGAAGTTTTGATTTCTTTATGGTCTCCATTATTAAGACATGGTCCAAAAAGAAAGTGTGCCCAAGTGCCTCTGAGAATATGAACATGTCATTGATTCTTTGATATTCCAATCAGCATTTCAATCTTCTAAAGGCTCATTGATTTCATTTACACAGCACTTTTAACCAGATCTGGTAAGAGCCTGGCAGATGTATTTATAAAATATACTAAATTTAGTTAGTGTTAACTTTGATTTGGGGGTTGCATGTTTGTGTGTGTGTGTGTGTGTTTTGGGACACCTGGGGACATGTTTATATATCTGCCTGCCAATAATACATACACACACCTGGCACTGTGGACATTGGGTTAAGGCGTCAGTCTAGAAGCCAGGAGACTCAAGTTCTAGTCTTAGAAAGCCAGCTGGATAACTGGACCAGTCACTCTCTCACACCTCATCCTAATTCAGAGGGTTATTAGTGTGGGGACAATAGGAGAAAGGAGCATTGTATGTATTTTTTTCCACCTTGAGTTATTTATAAAATAAAGGTGGCATATAAATAAATACTTCAGTAACCAAGCTGAGGACATCAATCGAAATAAACCATTGGGACACAAAAAGTATATCAGTTCCTCCTCTTTCAATGCACTTTTAGTGATAATATAGACCTGTGCTTCTCCGCCATCAAAATGAATGCAGGTGCTCTTGCACCTAAAACCTTCCTGGGGAAGAGGTAAGCAGATCATTAAGGGAAGGGAAGGAAGGGAGAGCAGAGATGCCAATGGACCTCTATATTTCATCTTCAGCTCAAATATAAATATCGGTATGGTCTTAGGGGGGAAGCCCTGAAGCCCCTCTTTGGATAGCTGTGTGTTATGGGGGGAAATAATCACCATTTTCTTGTGAAGAATAATTTCCTGTCAAAGAATAACAAAATTGGCACCTTCAATTTATTTATTCATCAATCACATTTAGGAACTAATCTTTCATCACAGACTATGCTCAGTTGCCCATCCACCTTGCTGAATTTCCTCAATTGTGGCATGACAAAAAGCTTCATTAATCCAACTGGATCCATGCCTGCTGTTTGTCTCCTGCTCCTGGAGAATCATTTCAGGTGCCTTTGGCAATGGGAGATGTCAGCCCCATGGCCCAACCTGCATGCAGAGAGGGACCACAGACTGTTGTGAATGGGTTTTTTTAAACAAGAAAGCCGTAGATCCACCATTGAACACTTACTTGAGGCGTAAAGAAACCTGGGCTCAATTCTTTTCCACATAGGACTGAAAAGATCAAGAGCCCCAGAGGAACCCCCCTGGCACGCTGGTAAAATCCAGGCAGACATACAGTGCAATCCAGCCAGCTAATTCACCATCTGTCATAATTCATTTAACCCTGATTTCTTGTGTGTATGCAGAACCAGTATTTACTGGACTACACAAACCAATATTTGAATTGGTAGCTGAGTCAGCCAACTCAAGACTTTTGGGGGGGGGGCGGGGGGGCGTGCTTTCACGTCAACCTTGATGGCTGCCTGGAAAAAAAAAATCCATGCAAGGTGTATTTGCCATTACTTCTTCCTAGGGCTGAGAGAAACTGACTGGCCCAAGGTCACCTAGTAGACTTGTACCTAAGACCAGATTAGGACTCACAGACTCCTAGTTTCTAGCCTGGTGCCCTAACTACTACACCTAAGTGGCTGTCAAAGTATGAAAGAATATGAATCAGTGGCTGAGTTAAGACTTAGCAGGTCCATTTTCAATAAGGGGCAATCCTGCTCCACAAGTTAAAATGCAGCCTACTGAAGCAATTCCCCCATTGTCATCCTTTGTCATTCTGTGGGTGTCCACACTCCAGATGGCTTTTTCTTGAATTTTGGTTTGTGCCCTTCCACGCACTGGTGGATGTTTACTTCTAAGCTCCTTCCATTATCCTGGGATGGGCAATACATCACTGACTTTGGGAGTTCAAAACTCCTCCAAGTGAATTCGACGACAGTACTTGCTTTCTCTTTTTTTCTCGCTTTCTTTTTCTCGCTTTCTCTCTCTCTTTATGTCTGTCTCTTTCTTTGTCTCTCTTTCTGCCTCTGTATTTCTGTCTCTTTTTTTTCTTTCCAACATGGCTGCTGCTCATCTTTCCCTGCTGAGGAACTTCTTGCACGTTTGATTATTTGTTTGCAAAAGCTGATGAACCAGTTACTCGCCCAGTTCTCGGCTACTTCGGAAAAGGAAGTGGCGATCCTCATTCCATTTTCAGAAAAATGAAGCGTAGACTCTGAAGAGCACGCACGCCGTATGAAAGAAAAGGGAAGTTAGGCAAGTTTATCCGTTGAAAGCCAAGGCTGCTGCTTTCAGAAAGGTCATAATAGGACGCTGTTTTTCGCCTTTAAGAACCACAATATTCTTGGGTGGTTTTTTAAAAAAACAAAATAAAATGAAGAGGGGGACAGCTAAGAAAGTCATGGAATACATTTAGGAGAATAAATGGGGCCAAGAGGAAAAGGGGATTTTCCCGAAAATGGGGCTTTATTCTTGTAGGGCATAATTCGATTCAAGTAATGGCTTGTCTTCATTTCTATGTGATTATGAGCAGTGGAGTTTTTCCTTCTCTCTCGGGATCGCCCCCGCTGCCTCCTTGCACGGATCGATGGTCGCCTTGATTCTTCGGTGGGTGGTCAGGACAGCCCACCCTACATAACCCTTCATAACCTTTGCAGCCTTCATTTTACCTGGCACCCCCCAGAAGTGTTGGAACTCCAATACCCACCTCAGCCCCAAGCAGCTTTCGTGGGGGTTTGCAGTTAGTCGTTCAGACGGCTTTCCCCTGCTTTCCCGACGCATCGGAAATCCTACGGTGGCGGTAAAAGGGTAGGCGCATTCGGATCCTTGAGCGTCTGAACGCCCCTTGACAGAATAGAATAGAATAGAATAGAATAGAATAGAATAGAATAACAAGAGTTGGAAGGGACCTTGGAGGTCTTCAAGTCCAACCCCTTACGGCGATAGGTTCTTCGAGGTTTCCTTTCCATTAATATACATGAAGGTGGCCTGGGTGTTAAATTCGGAACAAAAGAAGTCCTCGGCCTTCTCCGTCGTAGAGTTGGAGCCGATGGGGCGGAGAGGCTGCTGCGCCCGTCCTTCCGGGTGAAGCGGCCTAGGATGAGGCCGGTTCGGCTTTGCCAAGCGCCGCCGGAGTCTCCTCGCTTTTCCCCGCGCAGCCTTCAAGCAACCTCGAAGAGGGAGGCGGGGGGGGAAGATATTGTACCAAGGGCAGAAAAACCTGGAGAGCGTCTTTTCGAAGCCCTTGAGCTCGAACCCGAAGAAGGTCAACTCGCTTTCTGCTGCTGGGCCGGGAAGGCCTGTCCAGCGTTGTCCCGACCTTAGGGTTTCCCTCCCTCTTGTCTCCTGCCTCGCAGGCTGAAACGAATATAATTGTTGTTAAGAAAGGCCTTTGAGAGCCCCTTCGTCTACTCCTTTACTCGTAGGAGCTCCAAGTAAAGGAGTAGGCGAAGGGTCCCTCACAGGCCTTTCCTTTCCAGAATTGCCCTGTGCAATATGTACACATGTATCCAGCTTTATTGGCTAGTAATAAGTTAGAATCAATAATCAGGGATGGCTGTACTATCAGCCAGATGTGTAGATTTGGATGGATGGATTTGGTATTTTTATCCACCTCTTGAGTCTTTTCCAAGGACCTGGGATAAGTCAGGGCTACCTTAAAGCATGGGCCTGATGGACACTGGCTCATGGGCCCCACGAGCATAGCAGCCCCCTACGAATCTGTATGTTAACCGTTCAGTGCACCTTGTGTCATATAAATATACATATATTATGGAAATATATGTTTAGTTTTATCCACCATTTGCATTTTTATTCCTGTGAGTAGTTGCCAGTACACTGCTTTGCCCAGGGCCCATAATGCTGTTAAGACAGCCCTGGGATAAGCAGCTGTTTGGAGCTGTTAAAGATGATCACAGGATGTGTGACCTGTTCCAAGTAAAGCTGCTTTTCTGCCTTGTGGTTATTTGTCAGTGCTGATAGCTTTCAAATGCTACTCCAGTTGTTTTGAGATTGCACCCAAAACACTTGCTACTATTGGTACCATCTTTGTTTTCTTTTGATACGTTCTATTTCTGTTTTTGAATTTTGTTATCTTCTCCAGTTCTTTCTCTTCTCTTCTGCTGTCTCCTGTCATGTCCACTATCCAGACTTTTTCTCTGTCTTAACCAAGGATTGCAATTATCGGAGGTCTCAGATGGTTGTTTGTTTGAATTCTAATGTCCCAGAGCATCCATATTTTCTATTACTTTGCCTACTTTTATGGTCCAACCAGTTCTTATTTGTGGGCAACTGGTACTTCTTGCAAATATTGCAGTGTACTATTGTTGCTGTTTTGTCATCACATTGTTTCTGACACAGCTAGGCAGTTGCTCTCTGTTGCTGTCTTTTCAGTTCTGGATTTATGAGCATCTCTTATTAAGGCTGGATCTTGTGCAACCAGAATTAGCTCCTCTGTCTATTACTTAAACTTTCCAGCTCCTAATCATTGCCATGACTTGTTGATACATGCTTCACTTGTTTGTTTGTTTTTATTTCATGTGCTGCCCCTGTAATAAAATGCTTTTTTCAAAAGACAACTGGACTGTTTGTTCTTGATAAAGAAGAAAATATTTCCCTTCTCATCCAAGAAACTTCAGCAGTTCTGATGATGGGGGATGAATGGATAAGTACTGACAGTTGAGACAGGATGTTGGGGGTGGGGGATGGAAGGATAGACTCTAATAGGATGGTGGTATCAGAATGACTCCTGGACCCTGCAACCTTCATAAATACAGGAAAGTTGCGAAGCTTCCACATTTGATCACATGACCACAGGGATGCTGCAATGGTCGTGAATGTGAAAAATGGTCATAGGTCACTTTTTTAGTGGCACTGTAATTTTGAACAATCACTGAGTGTCTATAAGTCGAGCACTACCTGTAATTGAACCCAGAATTATGATCATAAGTCATAGTTGTCATTTAGTGGGTCACCATGTGACCAGGCCTGATTTTGTTACCTTATTTCTGGCAGTCATTAAATGTGTCAGTTTTCCCCAATGGCGATTTTGCTGGAAAGAAAGTAAGTGCTAGAAACTGGCCAAAAATAAATAATGTTATATGTATGTATGTATGTATGTATGTATGTATGTTTCAAAGTCATGTAAGGTGGGATTCTTTGCAAGCAGCTGTATGTGGTTGCCAATCACTCAAAATGCAACCATATGGCCACAGGAAATGTATGATGCAGCCATTGGAACTTCAAATTGGATCATGAGCAGCCCTGAGGATCTAGTGTAACTTCAATGATTACTAAGTAAGAACCATTAACTGTAACTGAAGCCATGCTACATATTAGTTGATTTGTTTCTTGCAATAAGCTGCTATTTATATTTGATATTACAGTACTGGCTTCTTTTAATATTTGTGCTAGCTATTTCTTCAGAACAAGTTTCTATGCATGCAGTCTTATTTTTTAGTCTTTGTGTTATGCTAGGTGCTCAGTTATTCTTTGTTTCAATTCCTCTTGTTTTTTAGTTAGAAGGCTTTATTTTTTCTGAGAAGGCAGAGTAGAGGTGCCTGGTTTGAGAGTAAAAATGATTCAGTAGCTATGTTGGGTTTCCTTTACTGCTGATTCCCCCTAGTTTGCCTTTACCAGGCCTGTCAAACTGTTGGCCTGAATGAATCATGTGTAGGCCATGCCCACCTGAGCTCCGCAAAGGCAAAAAAAGTTGTGATACATCATAATATGTCGTGTGATGCAATCGAGTTTGACACCCGCGCTCTACAGTCTGAGTTACTTTTGGTAAGGCTTTGGTTTATTTGTAGACCTTTGCAGTTCTTCCAATTCTGCTTCTGTGAATACTTTGCTTCGTATTATAAATTGTCATTGGTATGCTATCCTCTCTTATCTTTTTACTCAGAATTTTGTTCTTTCTAGAACTGGTACATTTTTTGCAGTATCCTTTATCCCAGGACTTGATTTGTCATAGCAAATCATTATCCCACCCCCGCCCAAACGCAGTCTTTGTGTATTTGGAATGGGAAAGCAATTTTCTTCTGGTAGTTCTGCAGTTGCTGACCTCATTTGCTCAGCCCAACAGTCCTCAGTTCCATAGCCTAATTGTCACCAGATGTCCAGAACTCCAACATCTGATGTGATGCTTCTAGACCTGGCAATGACTGATCTAATATGGGTTTCCATCAATTACATCTCACCTTGAATGTGGTTATGGGACTTCCATGCTCTGAGGTTGCAATTGGACAAGCCTCATAAAAAAAAAACTAATCTCTTTATTCTCATCATTATCACCACTATCTTCATCAATATAATTCTACTTTTTCTAGGATGCTGAAGAGGTCATGCAAATGTCTTCACTTGATAAATACCCACTGGAACCCACAGTCAGAAGGGCATTTCAACTGCAGGCTCCTTGCAGCTCCTCAGAACAGCCTCCTGGCTTCCAGCAGATTGGCCTGGCCATGTTTGATAAAGTGGTAAGCCTTGCTATATATTTACTCATGGACCTCTGCAGAGTAACAAGAGGGAAGAGAATATCTAGTTTCACATGTGAAAAGGATTGCTTTGCAAGCCACCATGGTGGTTTAAAACAACGGGCTTTGCCAAACCCCAACAGAGCAGTTTTTTGGTTTGGTGAAATGTGTGAATTCAGTTGAGGTTGGATTGGCCTGACCAACAGCCTTTATTAAAGTGGAGACACAGCAGAAAGTTAGCCAACTATGTACAGGTTGTCCTTGACTAACAAGCATTCATTTAGTGACCAAAGTTACTGAATGAAAGTCATTTTACTTATCTTGGAAGGCTGAGTCAACCTTGAGCCTGGGAGACTTGAACTACCAAACTGCTGGCAGTCAGTAGTCAGCAGAATTAGCCTGCAATGCTTCATTCTAACCACTGGGCCACCACGGCTAATAATAGATTCAGTGGCTTTTCCTTTAAGGAGGCAAGCATTGGATTGGTGTTTAAGACACACACCCATTCCCTTCTTTCTAAGTTCCTAAGGGTATCCCCCATGTGCCCCTAGTCATATTGAACTGCAAAACCTATCGTTCCCATAAGAGATGGTCAGAGTTGCAGTATGAGACACCAGTGTAACTCCTAACTTAATTTGAAAGTTATGCAATTTGTTTGTTTGTTTGTTTAACATATATGCTGCCCATCTCACTGTTGCAGTTTCCCCATAAGAGGGCCAGAGATTCTGGATCTCTGGCATTAAAAAGTCCCAGTATTTCTGTAACTCTAATTAATGAAAACCAGTATGGTTAAGATGCTGGGCTAGGAACAGGGAGATCCAAGTTCTAATTGTCCTTTAGCATTGAAGTTGGCTGGATAGCTGTCTGTTAACCTTAGTCTGGGAAGTCAGAAAATATTTATTCACCAACTTACCCTGAACCATTGAAGTAGGTTGTGGTCCGTAGTGTTCAAACACCCTGCAATTAATTTTTTCAGGCTAATTCCATTCTGTTTCAATCAGTCGTTAGGAGCCTGCCTGGGAAGTGAGGATGCTTTGATCTCATTGAGACAAAACTGCCAACCAGATACACAAGATGCAGAGGACTCAGCTTTCTTGAATAAACACAATTGATGGAATGAACACAACACTTTAAAGCCAAACAAAACAATCATGTTATGGCTTAGCATGTGCAAACTACCTAGACCAAAAGGTCAATTCAGAAGCATACAAAAGCCAATATTGTTTTGCATCTGTACTTAGGTTTGCACAATAAAATAATTAAAAATTAAAAAAGTACTTAGTAAAATATTTCCGTATTAATGAGTGCTAATTACTAGTAAAGTTGCTAGTATTATTAAAATGTTCTTGGAAACTGCACTAGTTCATTCCAAAACGAGAGTCTTGAATCTAAGAGACTGACCCATTTATGACTGTGAGTATACAGTTCTATGGATTGCAGTCTATTTCATCATACTGTATGTGTGTTCTGAGAAAAAAATTGCTCTTCACCATTAAGACAGAGCTCTGAAGAAAACTTTTTAAGAGCTGGAGTTGTGACAAAGTCATGTTATAATCACAAAGACTGACTTGAAAGTCTGTCTCACCATTGGGTTCATTCCACATGCTGTGACTTTGTGGGTAAGTTGAACGTTGTTATTTTAGTTTGTGAACTATGGCTGATAGTTTCACATGTTGTATAAACCCAGCCAATTCTGACATATAAATAACATATAAACCATGCTTAAGCAAAGTACACTCAGGTGTATTATATGAACAGGGCCACTGAGTTCAAGGCAACGTACTCCAATGGGTAGTATTTTGCAGCTTTTTGGTAGTAGTTTGCAGCAATTTTCAGCTTTTAATGAATTTCCTCTTAATATTTCAAAATGGCTGAATATTTAGAAAACAAAGAAGCTATGTTGTTACTGTTTTCTACCACCAGATAGAGTATCTTACTTCTTTTCTATTGGAACAGTATCTTGCTGTGCTATTGAACAAGGGTGGAAACACAGGAAAAGCCAATTCTCCCTCTTCTTCCCATAAAAACTTCACCTAAAAACTTCCACTGATTTTCTGACTGCTAACAATACATCAAGACTGACCACTTTTATTAAAAAGCAAAAGATTTGATCAGTGAGAAAAGATGCAACCAGACTACCGGTTTTTAGCCATCACAGACTAATATGGCTCTTTTTCTACAATGCTAACCCAGGAGCCCAAAAAGTTTTTTAAAAATTAGCAACAGTGATCAGGACTGATTATCCTCCTTGGGTGATGCCATTGCTTCACAGAAACATACATTATTTGCCGAGCCAATTATATCAACATAAGAGTGGCTGTTGAGCTCATTTGCTCTCTCACTCAGACTTTTGGATTGAGTGGGTTGGCCTTGGGTCTGATCCAGTCCAGCATGTCTTAGATTCTTAGATTTCCTAAGGAAGCAGAAGAGTAAAGCTGCTCAGAAGAGAACATGGGAAGGATACGGTAGAAGCTGGCTTTGGGATCTCATGAGTGAAATTGGTGCATCAGCATTTTTGTCTTGGGAAGCCTGTAATTGCGATAACCAGACCTGCTTTGGAAGTGAAAGTAGATCAGATTTGCTCTGCAGTTAGAAACTTGCATCTCTGGACATGTCTACCTCAGAGCAGTTCCCTGCCTCCCAGCAACAGAAATAAATATAAATACAAGAGGAAGTCATTTGCCCACACACTCTTGGGTCCTGGAGTTAGCCAACACTGCCAACTTAAAAAAAAAAATTTTTTTCCTGACTTCTGTGGGAAGAAGCATCCTTAAGCATGACTAGTTTCCTTCTGACCTCAGTTTAGACACATTGTTCTTGCAAGAAACTTTGTCTGATGAAAGCAAACCAATAGTTTTTCACCGTGGAATCCCCAGCTCCCAGAAAAGGGATAGATCAGCCCCATTACTATCAAGCACCAGGCTAACAGAGGGATGGCTCACGGGTTTTTTAGTACCCCAGCCAATGTGGTTAGTTTAATTCCCTAGGTCATGTGAACGCAGGCAGGTCTGTTCATTCAGGGAAGTGTGTTGTGGAAATACACATGTAGTTGCTGGGTACATCTACAGTCATGTGAAAAAGAAAACATACCCTCTTTGAGTTCTATGGTTTTTACGCACCAGGACATAGTAAAAAAAAATCAACTGGTCCTTAGCAGTTTTTAAAATGAGGTAACAAATGAACAACAACACCTGACACCATGTCACCATTCACTTTACCAAAATGGAGAAGCCATATCTGAACTGCCAAGTGCAGATGGTCCTCGACTTATTATGACCAACAATTCAGCCCAAAATTTCTCTTGTTAAGCAAGACATTTATTTATTAAGTGAGATTTGCCCCATTTTACGACCTTTCCTGCCACAGTTATTAAGTGAATCGGTGCAGTTGCTAATGTTAGCAACAAGGCTGTTAAGTGAATCTGGTTTCCCCACTGACTTTGCTTGTCAGATGGTTGCAAAAGATGATCACATGACCCCAGCAACCACCTTGAATATGAATCAATTGCCAAGCACCTGAATTTTGATCACAAACTATGAGATCATAGTTTGTGATGAGGGTCACAAACTAGGAGTCACAAATATGAAAAATGGTCATAAGTACCTTTTTTTTCAGTGCCATTCTAACTTTGAATCATCACTAAATGTGCTGTTTTAAGTTGAGGACTATCTGTACACTATGATTCAATAGCTTGTAGCGCCATCTTTAGCAGCGATAATTTGAAGCAATCATTTTCCGTATGACTTTCTCAGCCTCTCATCTCGTGGAAGAATTTTAGCCCACTTTTCTTCCCAACATTGCTTCAGTCAGGTGAGATTTGAGGGCATTTGTTTATGGACAGGTCTTTTAAGGTCCTGCCCCGGCATTTCAATTGGATTGAGGTCTGGACTTTGACTGGGCCATTGCAACACCTTGATTCTTTTCCTGTTCAGCCCTTCTTTTGTAGACCCAGCAAAGTTTTGACTGCAGGACAGGTGGCCTCACATTTGACTCAAATACTTTAGCATACAGAGGAGTTCTGGTCAACTTAATGACTTGCAAGGTGCCAGGTCCTGTGCTGCAAAAAAACCAACAACACCCCAAACCCAAATTATTGCTTTTACCACTGTGCTTGAGAATTGGCATGAGGTGTTTGTGCTGATATGCTGTGCTTGGTTTTCACCAAATGTGGCACTGTGCATTATGGCCAAACATCTCCACTTTGGTCTTGTCTGCCCCAAAGAGAATGTTCCAGAAGTCTTGTGATTTGTTCAGATGCAACCTAAACTGCGCTGCCTTGTTGTTTTTACAGAGAAGAGGTTTTCTCCTGGCAAACCTTCCAAACAAACCATGCTTGTTCAGCCTTGTTCTGATTGTACTGTCATGAATTTGAACATTTACCATGCCAACTGTAGGGTCTGAGATGTAACTCTTGGATTTTTTTTTCTGAGCATCGTACAGTCTGATCTTGGAGTAAATTTGCTGGGGCATCCACTCCTGGGAAGATTGGCAGCTGTCTCAAAAGTTTTCCACTTCTGGATAATCTTCCTCACTGTAGAATAATGGACTTAAAATTGTTCAGAAATGACCTGATAACTCTTCTCAGATTGATGGGCATCAACAATTGCTTCTCTAAGATCATTGCCGACGTTTCAACACAATAACAGAGTTGGAAGGGACCTTGGAAGTCTTCTAGTCCAGGGGTCTCCAACCTTGGCAACTTGAAGACTTCAACTCCCAAAGGTGGTTGAGGAACTCTGGGAGTTGAAATCCACAAGTCTTCAAGTTGCCAAGGTTGGAGACCCCTATTCTAGTCCAACCCCCACTGCCCAGGCAGGAAACCCTATTGCTAACACAACCTCAATGTTGGAGACCAGCAAACTCCTAAAATTTGACTTTAATAGAGGAAGTCACACTAACTGATGATCAATTGACGAAGGGCAATTGATTAGCAGCCCCTCTTTATACCTATGGAAGCAGTAAGGATGCATTTAATTTTTCACATGGTTTCTCCCTTTTGGATTTCTTTTACACATGATGCCATGGCGTAATATGTCATATGTTATTATTCACCCAAAGTTGTATTTACCTGCTTTTAAGAACTGCTAAGGACCAGGTGATTTTTTTTATTATTATGTCCTGAAACCATAGAACCCAAAGAGGGTCTACTTGCTTTTTCGTATGACTGTAACTATTTACTTATCAACTTTACAAACTGTCCACCTCCCTCACAGATCTGGGTGGCGTTTTTAAGTAAAAGATAAAAACAGAAAAGCTGTGTGTTAATATTACATTAAAAGGCAAGTAAAACAAAAAGTAATTAAAAATTCAGGTTAAAAAGGCAGTGGGGGGGTGTCTTCAAGGAGCTACCCAAATAACCAGCCCCATGGCTGGGTGCTCCTCTACAGCTCCCAAGTAAGTCAGCAGAGCCAGGTCTTCAGACATTTCCAGAAGACCAGGAAGGGTGGTGGTGGAAACTGCCTAACCTTTGCAGGAGGAAATGTTCCAAAAAGTGGGTGGGGTGGGGTACAGCAGAGAATGCTCACTTCCTGGACCTCCACCTGTCCAAATGCTTTAACCAACCAAATCGTTCGTTGAACAGACAGCCTGCAAAACCCACCCTCCATATTTATGGGATTAGGAAGAAGGGGCACTTATGAAGAATCTGAATTCACCTGTGGGTGGTGCAGGGGCGGTGGGGGGGGGCCTTCCACGTGCAAAGAGGGACGTGGGTTTGTGGAAGAGCAGCCATGCTGCTGTTTCCTGAGCTGTACAATTAAAAGAGGGGGGGTGACATGGATGGCGGGAGACTTCCAATACAATCAAGATCAAGTGACGTACTAATACCACTGGATAAAGCCTTAGTAAGACCACACCTAGAGTACTGCATCCAGTTTTGGTCACCACACTATAAAAAAGATTTTGAGACTAGAAAAAGTACACAGAAGAGCAACCAGGATGATGAGGGGACTGGAGACTAAAACATGAAGAACAGTTACAGGAACTGGGCTTGGCTAGTCTAGTGAAGAGACGGTTCAAAGGAGATGTGATAGCGGTCTTCCAATATTTGAGGGGCTGCCACAGAGAGGAAGGGGTCAAGCTATTTTCCAAGACACCCGAAGGCCTGACAAAGAATAATGGATGGAAACTGAACAAGGGGAGATTCAACCTAGAAATAAGGAGAAACTTTCTGACACTGAGAACAATCAACCAACTTGCCCTTGGAAGTTGTGGGAGTGCCATCCCTTGAGACTGTCAAGAAGAGATTGGAGTGCAGTTTGTCAGAAATGGTATAGGGTCTCCCGCTTGGGCGGGAAGGGGGGGTTGGACTAGATGACCTACAAGGTCCCTTCCAACTCTGATCATCTGTTACCTGTTAAATTTCAAACTCAAACTTTTATTGTCGGAGTACAACCCGTGTACTTGGCTGAGGCTCCCTTCGTGTGCACACACAACCGCAACACAATGCAACTCACAGTGAAAGACAGAAAATCCCTAACCCAGTGAATCCTACTAACACACACACACAATCCTATTGCACCATGTCAACTTATTGCACGTCGTGCCGACCCCACCCTCACCCCCACCCCGCAAGTCACTCGTTGGAAGGGCACAAGTCTTAAAAGAGTTGGCAAGTTTGGAGACTTCTGCTCTGCTCTACACTTTTCTCCTTTGCAACCCCACCCTGGCCGAAAAAAACCAACCAAAACCCCAAAAACAAAACCCCAAAACCCTAGTTAGTGTCCCTCTGCTGCCGTCTCTAAAGGCGTGTTCAAGAGTTGGAGCCAATCAGATCAACACCCGGCCCGGGAGGAGTTGGGGGGGGGGGGTTGGAGATAAGCTGCTGAGTGGCAGCACTAAGCCCGCAGAGGAGAGGGGGGTGTGTGTGCAAGCAGCTCGCCCGATGGAGCCAACCGGGGGCAGGACGGCGTCCGACCGGCTATGCCGAGCAGCGGCGGAAGGGAACGTAGCCGATCTGCGGAGGCTGCTGGACGGCGACGCCGACCCCAACGGGCTGAACGTTTATGGCAGGAGCGCCATTCAGGTGGACGAAGAAGAAGAAGGGAGGGCGCAGGGTCGGCGGGGCGGGGGGGGGGGGGGGGGGGGGGGGGCGGCTTTCTTTGTGGGGGGGGGGGGGGCGCTTCCCGTTTCCTCCGGAGGTTCTCTCTCTCTCTGTGTCTCCCCCCCGCCCGCCTCCCCGGGCAGGCTCCAGGGTGAGCATCGACGCTTTCGGCAACGTCGGTGGGGCGAGAGAACAATGGAGGCCACCAGGCGGTGAACGCGGGGCTTGGCAAAGCCAAGGCCAGTCGCGCCAACCCCCTTAAGCAGCCCTTGAGCGCCCCTTAGGATCGGAGCAAGGGGGATGGCACTTGAAGCAACGCGGGTCGGCTCCTGCGTGTGCAAAGGAGAAATGGGGACAGATGGGTGGCGCGCAAGACGTTCCCAGGGCGCAATGTGTGTGCGCGCGCGCGCTTGTTCGTAGGATTCACGGGCTGGAGGCTTTGTGCCTTCGCTGTGAGTTGTATTGTGTGCGTTGGGGGGGGAGGAGGGGGAGAGGAGCGTGTGCAGGAAGAGAGGCTCAGCCCATCTCGTTGTACACGGGTTGAATTGAACGAGGAAGAAGGGAGCGAGGCGCTTAAAAGAGGGGAAGGAACCGTCGTCTGAAGGAGGGCGCGAGGCTTGGAGCGGTGTATTTCTCCTCCCACGCCCCGGTTTCTTGCCCCTGCTTCCAAGTTTGGGAGCCGAGGGGGAAGCGACGCGATCCCAGAAGATTTCTCAGATGATAACACAACGCCATTAAGGCAATTCCATCTATCCATTTCCCCCACCTTTTTTTTCTTTTCTTTCCCCCCCCCCCACTTTTTTTCCTTTTCTTCTTTTTCTTTTCTTTTCCCTTTCCCCTTTTTTCCTTTCCTTCTTTTTCTTTTTCTCTTTTTCTTTTCTTTTCCCTTTTTTTCTTTTCCTTTTCGCAATACGAGCACGGCTCTCGCCTACTGTCACTTTGCGCGCGTTTTCCTCGTGCCGCGCCCGTTTGGGATTTAGGGCTGCGTCAGATTCTTGCCGGGGCTCCGACAAGTCCGCGAAACGGGCTTCGCTGCGCCCTCCGACGAAGGGGCCTGGATTCCTTGCAATAAAGCGAGAAGAGAGTCGGTCCGTGCAGTTTCTTTCGTTGGTTGCTGAACTTCCAGTAACTTCCTTTCCTGAGGGTGGAGGGTGGGTGGGGGGGAGGGCAGGACGCTCAATAAGAGGTGAGCTTGGCTACCTTTGGGGGTTTGAAATGAGTGGGCAACCAGAGCTTTCCAAAAATTAGCAATATCACTCCTCAAAAGAAAAGGTAAAAATCTGCTTTTCCTTACAGTGCTGCGTTGTTATTGTTGTTAGTTCGCGATGGGTCGGACGAGGTAATAAGGGACCCAATGTTTTATCTGTTGGCTGAGAAGTAAGGCTTCCTAGTTTAGATCCCTGCAGAAGTAATCAATTGCCTTTATATTTGTTATTGCCTTCTTGGACAAGTAACAGTATGCCAAAGTGGCTTTTCCCACACTGTCACACGTAGCCACAGCTTTAGTCTGGCCCATAGCTGTAGGGTGGTTTTCCTCCACGCCCGGTGGTCTCCCACCCATGTATTAACTAGTTCATTCCTACTTAGCTTTTTGAAGTCAGCTAAGATTGGTTTGAGCTTGTCTCTTGCCTACTTACACGGAGAAGTAATTTCGCCAGGTTGAGAAGTATTTCCCCGACGCTGGAATCTCTTGCGAGGAGGTCTTTGCTTTGTGATCCCTGCGGTGAGGGCTATGTGAATGTGGAACAGAGCGGACAATATCTTCTGGTCCAAGTTTTCTGATTTTCTTGTTATTCCAAAGACCCTTCTGCCAAAAACTATGGATTCTCTCTCCCCCCTCCTCCAATTGAGATGCCTTAACTTCAAAATTAAGGGCTGAGTCTATAAAGGGGTCGACTCGCAACTGTTCAGGTTAAATCCAGATAAGAGATAGGCAGAGTTGGAAGGTACCCTGTAGGCCATCTAGTCCAACCCCCGGCCTACACCATTTCTGACAGATGGGAGTCCAACCTTGAAAGTCTCAAGTGATGGCGCTCCTGCAACTTCCGAGGGTAAGGTGTTCCATTGGTTGATAGTTAGTTCTCATTCTCAGAAAGTTTCTCCTTATTTCCAGGTTAAGTTCAGTTTCCTTGTTGTTCCTCCTTGTTCAGTTTCCATCCATTATTCCTTGTCTGGCCTACTGGAGCTTTAGAAGATAGCTTGACCCCCTCCTCCTCTCTGTGGCAGCCCCTCAAATATTGGAAGGCTGCTGTCATATCTCCCCTGGTCCTTCTCTTCACTAGACTATCCATGCCCAGTTCCTGTAACTTTACATGTTTTAGTCTCCAGTCCCCTCATCCATCCTGGTTGCTCTTCTGTGTACTTTTTCTAGAGTCTCAACGTCTTTTTTATAATGTGACCAAAACTGGATGCAGTACTCTAGGTGTGGTCTTACTAAGGCTTTATACAGTGGTATTAGTACCTCACTTGATCTTGGTTATATCCCATTGTTAATGCAATTTAGGATTGCATTAGCTTTTTTGACTGCTGCTGCTGCACACTGCTGGCTCATATTTAGCTGGTTGTCCACTAAGACTCCAAGATCCCTCTCACAGTTACTGCTATTGAGCCTGGTTTCACCCAGTCTATATGTGTACTTTTGGTTTTTCTTGCCTAAGTGTGGGACTTTACTTTTCTCTACATTGAATTTCATTTTCTTAGTGTTTCTAGTCTGGCCCAGTGTTCTAGTCTGTCAAGATCCACCTGGGTGTTAGCTATTCCTGCCAGCTTAGTATCATCTGCAAATTTGGTGATTTTTGGTAAATCCATCCTTTTTGTCTGCTGCAGCTCCAAATCGGCTCTCGAGGACACGCGTGGAAAGCTGCCTGACATCCCCTCTCCCTTCTTTTTTCTCCCCTTCAGGTCATGAATCTGGGCAACCCCCGAGTGGCTGCTCTGTTGTTGGAGAGAGGAGCGAATCCCAACGTGCCGGACCCTTCCACCGGCTCCCTGCCGGTCCACGACGCGGCCCGCGAGGGGTTTCTGGACACTTTGGAGGTCCTGGTCTCCGGCGGAGCTCGCCTCGACTTGCGCAACTGCTACGGCCGCCTGCCTCTTGACGAGGCTGCCGAACGTGGGCAGAACCAAGTGGTCCATTTCCTCGCCCGGCGACAGAAGGACGACGCTTAGAAGCGGAGGGCGCCGGGCGCTGCTGGTCGGGGACTTCGCGGCCGTTGGCAGCCTCACCGTTTTTAGCCGGTGCGCTTATCCGCTGCGCTGGCTCCTTCGCGTTGGCTAGCTTAGCTGGAGCAACATCGGGAGGATTGGCCGCCTCTCCGAGACAACTTGTTTTTAAAAGCGAGTTAATTCAATTATTCAGTTGCAAATTAGTTCCGCTTGGTAGAGGGAGTAAATTAAACCAAGCTTAATTGCAAGTTAGTTGTAAGATAGTCAACCGCAAGATAGTCCCCGTTGAAGAATAAGTCCTATCCTGAGGTTGCTGCCTGTTAACTTGGATACGAAACCTCTTATCCAAGTTAACAGGCAGCAACTTCGGGATAGGACTTATTCTTCAGCGGGGACGATCTTGCGGCTGACTATCTTACAACTAACTTGCAATTAAGCTTGGTTTAATAAGACTCATTTGCACTGCCCGCTGCCTGCTTCCTTCTTCTATCTGACCATATATTCCCTCTGTGGAAATTTGGATTAAAAATGAAGGACACCCAGTTTATATGCTTGATTTTCTTGGGCGGAATAAAGAGAATGCAAAGCCAGCCTGAGGATTGTATATCTGAGTGCAGGAGACTTCACTGCAAGGTTATAATGTAAAGTGTAACTATTTATCTGGGCCTTTAGATAATTCCCAGACAGATAAGTCCACATCACATTGTAACACTTTAATTCTGTGTAATCGAAATAATCCCCACTAAAATCTATCTGGACTTTCACTTTAAGGGTAGGATTAATTTTTTGTGCAATGATATTAAAATCTAACCAACCTCCCCCTCCCCCCCCCACCTGATCAGTGCTGAAATTCCAAAATCTGGAACTGTCTCTTACAAATATAACATTAAAGGGCAATCCTGCATAGGCTCAAGCCTCACTGGAAACAATGTCAGGGATTGGAGCTGTTTTGATGGGTTGCATACAATCCAGGTAAACTGGAGCTCCAGTTGCACAATCATAGTTGTCATCTTAACTTTTTCTTACTTCCCTCCAGACGCTCTTTCTCCTTTACCCAAAAAACAAAACAAAAAAACCACCCCTACCACACAGTGTGTCCTCAACACGATCTTCATTTACCTGAGTTTCAATCACACACCTACCTATAATAGGAAAAAAGAAGAAGAATACTTCTTCTTCTATGTATGGTGAGAATTATACAGTAGCATGAGAAGTAAAAAAGATTTGACAGTAAATTTTTGCTACTACCAGTATATCAGGCAGATATACTGGTAGCAGCCAGTTGTGGTGCTGGTCTCTTCTTAAAAGTAATGAGTCCTCTTTAAGCCCTTTCCACAGCATCCTTGTGTCAGCAAAAACAAGACCAAGGTAAATCAATAAAGTAAGTCAATAAAGTCTCAGAAATTGTAAACATCTTCAGACCGCCTTTAGACAGACTCAGTTAAGGGAATACCATTTTAACTTAGGGACCTCAAAGGATGCTTTTATGTCTGTCTCAACTTTGGGCTGAAGGTGTAAAAGTTATTTGTGGCATTAGCTATAGAGATGTCAGGTTTATTTATTTTGTCACCAAAGTTCTAAAGACTCTGAAATATATCAGAGAAATGGCTTGGCAAAGATGGCAGAATGAGCAGAAAGGACAATAGCTACATACAGCGGATGGCAACTCTTTATATAGCTTTTGCTCAAAAAATAAAATAAAAAATGAACTCATGATTTATGGAGCTGATTAAAAATGACACATTATGGAAAGAAATTAGAGAATGGATAATATACTTGGAACTGATATTAAGAAGGTGGGAGTCCACTCCTTTATAACCTTTCCTTTCCCTTTTCTCTTTCTCAGCATTTTTTTCACGCTTACGTTTTTTTTTCTCACTTTCCACTTACAAAGTTATATTGCTTTTACTTTTTGAACAATTTCTTTAATGAACTCAAGATTCTAAATGCTTTCTCCAGTACTCAGTGGCACAGTATGACATTTGCTGAAACAAGAAAATTAGTTGGCAGATGTTACCAGAGACGGGGGGAGGGGGGGAGAGGAAAAAACCATGCTCACATATGCATTCATTTAACTACAATTGGCCTAATTTGCCTAGTTACTGTAGATGTTGCCACCCCCTTGGCAAACCGTAAACTAGTCCTACTGGGTTGATTTGTAGAAAAGCTAGTTTGTGAATAAGGTGAACGCATACCAAGTTCAATGAGCATAAGCTATTATCTCACTTCTCACAAGTTTCTAAATTAATGGACTCTCTCCTGGGCTGTTTTAAAAATCCACCATCTTTTTAAAAGGGATCTTAAAAACTGCAGTAACTTGAGGTTTACTCACGCAACCAGGGTTGTTCGTGTATATATATATATTTTTTTTAAAAGGCCAAGGTCTTTCAAAGACATGGCATATATATATGACGATTCGCCATGTCTTTGAA